ATATGCCCTTGCACACATGAACGTGGCTAGTGAGCAGAAAATACTTGTGTGCATTAAAAGACCACTGGCACCACTACTGATTATAAATGGCACAGCGAGTTCTTGGAGGCTTTTTCCTTCCCTTGATCTGGTCTCTGTGACTTACTGTGCAGCGTTAACTCCTTAGATCTCCCTCCCTTTAGCTGCTCTTCTTACACAGGACACCAAAAAGGTTTCGCACCTACTGGTGGCCCCGGATCCCCTTTCAGGGCTTCCCCGACTCCTGCTCTGAGGGATCCCCAGCACCTGAGCAGCCCTGCAGCCTCCCCAGGCGACGCTTCGTTCTTCTCTCTTACCTGAACATTCCTTGCTGAAGCTTTCACCTGGTGCTCCCTCACCCAGGGAAGCCTCCTCTCTCCCTCTCTGTGTTGCAGTGCCCTTTTACATCTGATGGCTGCTGTAGGGACTGCACCATGCCTTCTTCATGCTGACCAGCTGCAATTTGTCCACCTCCCCTGCTGTCCCCTCAGCCACCAGTTGCCCCCTGCTGTCCTCTGCTTCCCCGCCAGCTGCTGCCTGCAGCCTGCACTGAGCAGTACCCCCAGCCTCTGTGTGTGCAGGGGATTAACCCTGCCTGCAAAAACAACTCCTCTTGCTGCTTTTCTGTCACCTTCTGTGCTTTAGAAGCGATTTCTGGGGATTCTTTTAAATTATTATTCCATCCTCCAATGTAATCCCCCATCAGTGCTATCTCTGAAGGTTGCTAATGAAACTTCCCAGGACAGACTCCTTTGGAACCACATCTATAACCCACCCATTTGTCCATAAACCACTGACAACCTCTGTTTCTACAGTTTTGTACCCAATGCCCAAATTTTTTCACATAACCTGAACTTTCTTATTTATGAGTGAATGTGCAGAGCCAAACCGAGGCGCAGGTGGCTGCGGCCCCTTCTTCTTTCTTCCATAACAAGGTCCGTTCCTCTGTTGCCAGAGGAAATTTGGCTATCTTGCACCAATTTCTTGTTGGCAAGTCCATGTTAATAGCTACTTCTCTCTTTGTTTCCCTCTGCTTACAAATGATGCACCCATTTATACTGGGTGCTTCTTGAGGAAAATATGTCTGGCTTGTTTCTCTCTTTTTTTTTTTTTTTTTAAATGTGCTTTTTAAAGGTAGGTGCCACTTTGGCCTTTATCCATCAGCAGGGTCCTTAGCCATCATCCCTCAGCTCTCAGAGATAAATGCTTGAGTTTCCAGTGTTGTTTGAGCCTCATTCTTCATTACCCTGCATGAAATCCAGCCGGCCTGTTGGTTTGAACACCTCTAATTTACCTAAAGAGTCTTGTAGCTGGTTCTGTCCTAGTCTGAGCTGAAAACTCATTTTCTTCACATCAATTTATATTATGTTAACTACCTGATCACAAGTGACCCCTTTTAGCCAAGACTGGTGCAAGGAAGGCACGAGGCATTCTAAGCCTTCTGAGCACCAGTCAATAGCTTTCTCTTTCTGATGAGTAATCCACTTGCTTTTGACTTCCTCTTACTGCTGATGTACTTACCAAACGATTTCTTGTTACTTACGATGCTCTTGCTACTTAAATTTTATTTGTGGTATTGGCTTTCTTTTTGTGTTTGTCCCCAAGTGCTCTTGCTAGGTGATACTTCTGCACCTGCTCCATGGAAACCTGAACTGCTTTATCTGTGCTTCCTTTTTGTGTTGTGAGCTCACAATTTAGCCCCATTGGTTGCTTCTTACCCTTCCCAGATTTCTTCTGCAAGGGGATCACCTGGGACAGGTCTTCTAGAGACTCCCAGCTACAGTTTGCTCTCTCTTCCCATGAAGGTGAAAAGGCCTTGGCATGGCCTGGGGTTGACAGGGGGAGATAGGGAGAGGAAGGGGACTTTGGGAACAGAGGTCTCAAGTAGAAGTTTGGAGGAAAGAGAAATTTGACTGAAGAAAACAAGGAATTGAAAACTTGGAAGACATGGGAGGGAAAAGAAGATCCCTTAAAGGAGGTAGGTGTACAAGTCATACAGTATAATGAAAAGCCCATAAAAAGAGGTGACAGCTCTTACTCAAGCTGACCAAACATTTTAATCCCAAATGTCTCTTCTGGGCTGCTCCTACATCCTGAGACTTCTTTTGGAACTGAAAACTTTCAAAAAATTAGCAGATTCCTGAGAGTTACGTATTTTTACATGGTAGAAGTTCTCATTTTTTCCACGTTCACTGAGTTAGATTAAAGAAACTGTGTACCATGATAACCTAGGTCCTCAACACTTTGAGGAGGAGGAGCAGAAAAGCTGGCTTTGGTCTCCTCTGACAGGAGCAGTGTCATCCCTGCCATAGTGCAGAGCAGATTCAGAGCTGGAACAACATGACAGTAGTGGAAACCAGTGAACTTTGCCCCTTTGCAGAACAAGTCTCCCACTGCAGAATGACCATCCTGTCTGTCAGCACACCACCATGGCTCAGAGGAGCTGGAGCAAGGACCCAGAGAATTATCATGATGTTTACAGAGAGGAGGAGGGAAAAAAAAAAAAAAAAATCAAGCTTCCTTAGTCTTGGTGTTAACATTTCCAGATTCTTGGAAGGCCATCCAAAGTACTTTGAAGAGTTCCTGGCACAAATTCCTGATTTTAGTGGAAATTACAATAACCCCATCCTGCATAATAACAACCCTAGCTATATTTTATTGTTTTATGGGATACGTGCTTGGTTTCCCTTTTATTTTATTTTTTTTCCTTTCATGTGAAGGAGAGCTGCACTGTAGAGGTGAAATTATGACAGTGTAATAAACCAAAGCTACTTAGCACAAAGACTGATTAATAAAATCACCTATAGCAATGCAGACTACTTATATAATAGAGAAAAGCACAGTGTCTTCATAGGGTCACAGAATAATTCAATTTGGAAGGGATCAGCGTCTCTAGTTCCATCTCCACTCAAAGCAGGATCAGCTATGGGGTCAGGTAAGGATGCACAGGGCTTTATCCAGATGCTATAGGAGATCTTTCAGTTCAAGAGGGCCAGGTGAGTACTGTGA